TCTTCCAGAATTTCCACAACACAAACATCATAACTTCCTGACTTCTTCTGTCCATAACAGAGATGATAAAACCAGGTATCAACGTATATCTAATTCTGTATCAGTCACTAGACAGAATACTAAAGAGAAGTCCAGATAAACAGCTCCACTCTCACACATCTGTACAGTTTTAACTTTGTACATTGTAGAAGCAGCTCACACTATCTCACATTGGCTCTAACAAATGCAGAATGTGGCTTCAGATGTAGCCGCGGCACCAGCGACAGAACCGCTGGTCAGAATGAGTTCTGTAAAACGTTTCCAGGACTTAAACAGCAGCGCCTGGCGTCCAGATGTGAGCAGAGAAAGGAGAAGACATTTTGTAAACAAGCTGGTTCAGTTTGACGCTGTGGAGCTCCGAGCAGCACCGTGAGCGTTAGAACATGGACGTGAAGTGAGTCCAGGCGCTGCAGCTACATAAAGGCGTCTGAATACCTACACTTGACTGGCTGTGGATTCTGTTGTTTTTTTCTGGGCATCTTCCAGTCAGCCGCTCTCTTGTTTGTGTCGTCGTCTCGCAGACTTCCACAACCATCAGCTCATTGTCATCTGTTTAGAAGACATGCGTCAGTGTTTCTATGAACGACAGACAGAAGACACACGTTGAAGCTCAGTTTACAAACGTTTGTGAAACATCAGTGGAGCAGAACTCGCTCATGTTGGTTCAATCTACTCGACCAAGCAGCTCAGGGACAACATCAAGCTGCGATTTTTCTGACAGTTTTCCAACTTGCAATATAAGGCACGAAGCAAAAACGGTGATATCTCAGTGGGTCTTTGGTTTACACAAAAATAGAAGTCACCCATCACATCTGAAAACACCAGCCACAGTGGAGATTTGGAAAAACTCCGTCTTTGCATGTAGACAGAAGGAGACGGAGTTTGACGTCACAGTGTGCGACAAAAGCATCATCAGTGTCATACGTGTGCGACCATGTTTACAGTTTGGCTACGTTCATATACTTGGACTGACGTGTTTACAGTCAGTGTTTTTAAGTATTTTACTTGTTTTGTCTCTAACACCACATGTAGGAGCAGCTTCACGTCTCTGTCGGTCCAAACAAACAACCCTCACGCCGTTATCATTGAAGTTACAGGAGGTTTTCGTTGTTGTTTTTTTCCAGGATTCTGATTGGCTACTTGCGTGGCTTTATGCTTCGCCTTAGACTGCCCCCTACAGGTCTGGCAGCTTATAGCAGCTCTTATGCGGGTTTGTGTAAACAAAGATTTTTTTGAAAACAATCTGCTGTGAACGATGTTATTTTTGAAAACGTGGATTCGTTTTTGTGAAAACCGGCTACGTGTAAATGTGGCCTATGTCAAGCTTCAGTTAAATATTGTCTAACAGACAATATTTAACTTTCATGTTGACATATGTTGAAGGTTTTTCGTGCAAAATATTTGTTGGTATTCATTATAGACTTTTGTACTATGTTAAATACATTTTCTGATAAGTTGACATATTTTGGTTTTAAATGCACGACAAATGTCCCTCTTTTTAGATTTACTTTTTTTTTTAAAAACACAATACCTGTCACCTAAACCACATGGCCTGAAGTCCAAAAGACCTGAATTAATGTCTTAATGTCTTGTTTTGTCCACAACTCAAAGATATTCAGATTATTGTCATAGAGGAGCAACGAATCCAGAAAAATTGCTAAATTTAGGGAGTTGGACGCTGGTGATGAATCGAATAGCTGTGAACTGACTGTCTGGTCAGTAATCAAACTACTTCCTGAGGGAACGACAGAGTGGAAAGTCTCTGCTACAGCTCATGTAGATACCTGCTGCAAATAACCAATGTTTCACCTTCTATACATGTACATCATGTTATTTTCTTTATTTATTTTATTCCCTTTTTGCACTGTTTGTCAATGTGTTTTAATTATTTCTGCTATTTCTCTCTCTCTCTCTCTCTATATATATATATATATATATTTGTACATTCATATATATATTTTATTTCTTGTGTGTTTTATTCCTTATTCTTATTTATCGTATTCTTATTTTTTCAGTGTGCGTTATACCATATATAGCTGTGTTTGTTACCAATAAAAGACCTTGAATCCACTGCTGATTGACCTGTCCATTATGTTCTTGATTGATTGACTGATTGGCTGATTGATTGATTGATTGATTGATTAGGTGTTGGGTCTCTATAACGAGAAACATTTGAAAACTGTCGATCTGTTTTGTTTCGTTTCATCCACAACCCAAAGATATTCAATTTATTGTCACTGAGGAGTGAAGAAAACAGAAAATATAGAATCTACAAAGCTGGATTTTTTTTTCTTCATAAAAATAACTTAATTAACTGATTATCAGAATAGCTGGCGATTAATTGAACAGTTTAATCGAGTAATCGCTGCAGGTCTGATCAAGGTGTGGTGGTAAATGATGGTTTACTCAAAACTAACGCTGCTGCTTCTCATGCAGACGAGCATCCAGCAGCTTTGTTTGTGCCTTTATGGCAGCTTGAGGTGGCTGCTTGGTGTCTGCTCAGCTCACTGCTATTACACCGCGAAACCCATTAAGTCAGTCAATCAGATGTGCAGCCCATTATGTCCTAATGAAGCCAGCCTGAGGACAATACAGCGTTACTAACGTAAACCAGCAGCTATTACAGGATCAATAACCCCGAAAGGAAACTAACAGCACAGGGCACGTGACTATTACCTGGAGGTGAACTGTTATTTACACTGTAAACAAAACACCGAGCTACTTTAGCCACATGCTAACACGCTAGCTCCGGCGTTGAGGGAGAAATCAGGGCAGAGAAGTAAACGTTGAAATGTGCCCTCGGCTGCTTAATGTCACCACCCGGACTCAAATGTCAACAAAAATACAAAAAAAAAAAAAAGAAAAGTGTGGCTACGCAGATGTACGAGCAGCTAAACCAACCGCGTCCCCACCAGCACGTAGTAATGACTGACAGTCCTCAGTGGACATTAGCCGAAGCTAAACAATGTTAACCTGCGGCTAAATTAGCCGAGCAGCTAATGTCAACTTCACTAGTTAGCCGTCGAGCTAACTCACCTACAAAACGTAAATATTCCCGTCGACGGAGGCGCCTGCTATCGTCCGTGAACACCACACTGGAGGTGAAGTGTTTCTCCTCAAACGACCGACGTCTGGAGATCCGCCATTTCTTCATGAGTTGCGGCGACAAAGAAAGGCAATTAATGGTATTTTTCATAACTTAATTGATTTTCTGATTCGAGCGAAAATTCGGCGGCGACAACAACAACACCGCCGGCTCGACTCCTTCACAATAAAAGCGCCGTCGATGCTCCACTAGCAGTGACATGGAACATATGTTCACCACAAAACCATGCAACCATGCAATTTCACTGATTATTGCAGAAAAGCAAAGCATTATTTGGTTAAATTAGATGTTTTGCTACATGTTTTGAGGTGTGCATTTTTTTGAAACCCTGCACTATTCAGTTTTAAATAGATATGGAAGAATTATTGACATTTGCACTGGACAGATGGTGTAATAATAATAATAATAACAAATAAAAGTAGGAGAATCAGCAAAAAAGTTAGATAAAAAATGTACCTCCTAAGAATAAATTAAATAAAACTAAATAAATGTAATCAGTTATTTCATTGTCAGTTGCAGCATTTTATAATGCTTTATGTATATTTTTTAATGTATATTTGACAATTGGGTAGCTTATTTGCACTTTACTAAAGTTCATTTTGATTCCTGTAAGATCTGTTAAAAGAAAAACGAACAAATATCATCTTTAAAGTGTATAATAGTAACAATTATGCAAGATAAATGAACTTTATTGTTATCTATTTTTATATTTAGTGTTTCAGTGGTTCAAAAAGTAATGACGACAAGATTATTTTCAGATCTATCTATCTATCTATCTATCTATCTATCTATCTATCTATCTATCTATCTATCTCAGATGCACTGCCAAGATATAAGTCACCGTCACGAATCGGTACAAAGCTGCCTTTATCCACTGATGAAAGTTTTCTGTCTTCCACGATGACAATGTGCCCGTGCAAAGTGCACAAGAGCTCACTGTGATAAACGGAACAACTCAGCCCGTTAATAAACACCTTTCAGCTGCCAACCTAAACACACCAAACACCTCCATCATCGCTTCCATAAAGTTGTCATTCCTTATATTAATTACTGATGCGAGTTTTCATTTCTGTGGCATTATTTCTATCAGTCTAAATACCAATTCACGGAACTTAAAAACTGCTGTGAAGAGCTCAGTGCTTTTATTGTGAAGGCCGACGGCTCCTGCAGGAAGTGCTGCTGGTGCTGCAGGATGAGAGGATCAGCTTGACTTCATTGTAAACATCTCTGCTCCTGAGCTGTTTCCGTTTCCTGGAGTAATTTCCGGTCTCCCTGCCCCATTGAATCACGGTAGTTGTAGTTTATGTTTGCGATAAGACGAAAAGACCGAAATATGACAACAAGGACTTTAATTGAACAGAATTCAAACCGTTAAGTCTCAGTCAGAGGAGACACTACTAAGATATGTACGAGATTATCATAGCAACACCAGTAAAGTAATGCTTTTAGTGAATGTATACAACGCTAAGGGCAAAAATCAGCCAATCACAGTCATGCTTTTAAAATCCTTGATTATATATAGAAATCTACATTTAAAATATGGGCAAAAAATGCAAAGGATGCAGAACACAACCTCCTTACCATATTTTACAACATCCCACTGTGGAAAAATGTAGTTTGGAGCCATAATGCAGTTAAACTTATTGTAGAATTTAACAGTAAACAAGAAAGTAATTTGTTATATCATATAAGTAACTAACTGACGACACAATAAGAGGGGGAAATTAAAGATAATGGGCTTAAAAATTATTTTTATTGGCATCTTGAGTCACCCTGCAGCGATTCACTGAACTGTAATTACCTTTAAAAACAAACTTAGAGCTCTAATGCAGAGCTACAGTCTGACAGCTCCTGTAAAGTCCTGTCATCATGCCGTAAAACACACGACTCCAGTGTTTCTTCACCGTCACAATGACTGATGCAGCAGCTCAGTGTGAGTTTTACCTGCATCGTTAGGTTTGGTGCAACTAAAAGTTTTCCATTTTGCAGATCCTGGAACTGAAAACATTGACTTTCTTTGCATATTTGTACCAATAAGTCTTGAGAAAACAACTCCAATCCTAATGTAGGCCATCACACAGTTACACTTTAAACATCTTTTATTGGAAGTTATATGTAGAGAGATGTAAACTACAAGGCAAGCTGTTGTGATATTATTATTGGATGGGCGACAGGATGGAGCTGCTGACGGGAAATCCCTCTCTGTGTGTGTGTGTGTGCATGTTGTGTTCATGTGTTGGTGGATTTTTGTGGTCAGAAGCATGTGTGCATCAGACTCACTCAGGATAAACGAGAGCAGCACGAATCGATCTGTCATCAGAGGAGTGAATTAAACACAAGACATCAGGTTTTTATGTATCAGCGTGTTTTCAGTTTGACGTGAAGAAAAATGTTAAAAGTAAAAGCAAGGGGCATTTTAATTTATTAAATTAATTTCTGTTTTGGCTCCATCATTTACCAGCCTCGCAACATATTGGGTCCAATATTCAACCTTTTTCTGATTATCATTGTTTTTCTTAAACTGATTCCAGATCAAATAATTTTACAATATTGTACTCTGACTCTGATGCTGTTGACTCGGTCTATAGTCACCCCTCTGATGCCAAGAGTAACATCCTGGTAACGTCCATCCATCCATCATCTATACCCCTTAATCCTCACTAGGGTCGTGGGGGGTCTGGAGTCTATCCCAGCTGACTTCGACTGACACCGACTCTGACAACTCCCACCTTTGGACTTGTTGTCTATTAAAGTGAAACCCTGTTCAGCCAGTGATCCAATGACAACATCAAACCTGGTTCAGGTTAAATATGTGTGTTTGTCTTTGTGCACTTTGGCTCCGATGCAGACACAGTGGTGGTGAAACTTTAGTCTGTTTGCACGATTAAAGGCTGTGAATTGAGCAATGTGCTCCGGCCCCTTTTGGTTTCCTGGAAATGTGGAGTCATCAAGCTGAGAAGCATCTGATTCAGCTGCAGTTTGCTGGAACAAGCCAAGACAACGAGCTTTCTACTGATGAATACAGTGTCATGGAGTAAAAAGCATTCACTTCTGATACTTGAAGTACATTTAGCTGATAGTGGCCACATTACATGAATTTAACATTTGCATTTTTGACAATTTCTAGATGTGACTGCACGGTGGCTCAGTGGTTACTATTGTCACCATTGTTGCCTCGCAGCAAGAAGGTCGCCGGTTCACATCCTGGTGAGGACACCCGGGATCTTTCTGCGTGGAGTCTCCATGTTCTCCGGCTTCTTCCCACATACGAAAAACATGGTAATTAGTGATTCTAAATATATATTCTAATAAACTGCTCTGTGAATGTGAGTGTGCTTGGTTGTCTGTCTCTAAGTGTAGCCCTGTGATAGACTGGTTACCTGTCCAGGTGAACCTGCCTTCACCCTGAGTCAGCTGGGATAGACTCCAGCCCCCCATGACCCTAGTGAGGATTAAGGTGTAGAGATGATGGATGCATATTTTATGGTCTTGATGTCAGTGAGGCTACTTGGTCTCATAAAGCATAAGTACAGTACTGTGTAAAAAGTGCAGGCACATTAGACGTCTAGATTCTTATCAGGAAGACATCAAATTGGACTCAAATTCATTAAAAAATGATTTTCTGGGGCGCTGCGATAGCTCAACTGGTTGAGCTGGCGTCCCATGTTCAGGGGCTACAGTCCCTGACTCAGAGGTCGTGGGTTCAAGTCCCGCTCATGGCCCTTTTTCTGCAGGTCCTTCCCCCTCTTTCCTGTCTCTCTCTCTCAACTTTCCTATCGAATAGAGGCCAAAAAAAATACATATATATTTTCTGCAAGCGACAAGTAGATCAAATTGTCCTTAAACAGCTGATCTCTACTGAAATACATCGACAAGAACCTTATAAAATGTGTGCAGGTGTGTTTAGGAGAACTGGTGCTATTTAAAAGGCACAGCATTGGATTTTAGTGCACTTTGCATGAAGTTAAATAAAAAACAAAACCTGCTCTTGGTTCTTGAAGCATCCTCACTTCTCTGTATCTATGTTATTAACTGAAATACTTTTGTCATTTAGTGAAGTGAGAAATAACTACTGTTGCACCACCTGCTGGCCTCCATGATGTACTGCAGCTCATCCCTCTGGCAGAGGAAATGAAAACAAGGAGACGGCCGGTTACACTTTGAGTAGAAAGATAAAGTAGACTTTATTTGATGGTGAAACCTAAATAAGATCTGTGATTACAAAACAGGTTCCCCACATAATTTCTTTAAATGTCACAGAGGCTGGAATGCTGTACTGACAGAAAGGCATCAGAGAAGACTGGACCTAAAACATGAACTTAAAAGTAAAAGAGCAGACGCTGAGGTTCAGAGGGAACACCGCTCACTTCTAAAAAGCTCTCAGAAGTCGTTCCTATGATCTACGGCAGTCAGATTCAGTTAACGAACACACTTATCAGCTCCCAACATCAGAAGGATGAGAATGAAAGCAGAAGTGACAGCGGAGACTGTCTGAAAACAATCTGTGGAGCTTCCTGGTGTTATTTTCATACAGCACGATGAGCCTTGTTTGGTTATAAAAACGTTGATCAGAGTTCATGGATACACAAAAAGCCTTCTGTGCACGATCAAATGCCAGATAAGTGCTAAGACAAGGGCAAGTGTTTTGCTCTTCAGCTTTGAGAGAGAGATGCCGTGTATGCTTCTATAACCGCTGACTGCACTTTCCTAGACCACGGAAACGTTACGCTGTACAGAAAGTCTGAAACCGAGTGGCATTTCCCTTTAAGTAGCCTCCAAACTAACATATACACACACATACGCAACAAATGTACACTCAAGCGTATCCTGCATCCCGTCATAATTCATCTGCAAAATGAAACATTCAAAAATATTAGCCTCGTCGATACTCTGGAAAAATATAGTACTCTAGGTCTCATACTGTCTTTAAACGTGTTGTTTTAAAGGAACAGTTTGACATTTTGTGATGAGAAAATTGATTTGAATGCCTCTGCTTAGCATAAAGTTTGGAAAGCAGCTAGCATGACGCTAACTAACTCCACCATCTGACACCTCTAAAGCTCACTACTGAACATGCTTTGACTTTACTGGACTCCACCCAAAAAAAAAACCCCAATATATAAATGTGGTGATCAATGAGCCTACAAGGTGCAGCCGGTGGATTTTAAATCTCAGGACAGAGCAAGGCTAGCTGGTTCCCTCTCCTTCAAGTGTTTGTACGATGCTAAGCTAACCGGAAGCAGTTTAAGGTTTACCACTGGTAGCCGTCTTACTGGAGTATTTCCCAAAATGTCAAACTATTTCTTTAATTCGAAAAACATTTCATTCATTGAAAACCCTCTCTCCATAACTTTAGTGTAAATCATTTCTATAAACGCAGGTGTCGTGTTATTGTCACTATTAGCTTTGTATTTTCACCCAGATGAAAAAATATTTACCAACACCTGAAACACAAAAATAGTCTCACAAATATATCATTTATTCTAATTGTTAATCAGTTTTAAATTCATAGTCTCAGGTAGAGTCACTTTCAGAGCTAATACTCCGTGTTGATTTGGGTCATATACCTCCCATTCTCTAGTTCACCAACACCAGGTGAACATCTTCTCGCTTCTTCTGCTCGTTTTCTGTGTATTAATGGAAACTAAACGTCTGATTCGTGGGTCTGGTCCCATCCCAACATCTGCCTCTCCCTTCCCTCTTAAGGTTTGCACCCAAGTGTTGGCAGCGACGAGGAAAAGCACATTAAAAATAGACATCTTTAAATAACTATTTAGCTTTTCTAAGTGCAGCACAATTGGAAACGTTACACCAGTCAGCCACAACATTAAAACCGCTGACAGGCGAAGCGAACAACATCGATCATCTCGTCACAATGGCACCTGCCAGGAGGTGGGATGTACTAGGCAGCAAAGCAAACAGTCAGTTTTCGAAGGTGAAATGTTGGAAGCAGGAAAAAGGGGCCAAATATCGATGATGAGCGAGTCAGAGCATCTCCAAACCAGCAGGTCTGCTGGGGTGTTGCTGTATGCAGCGGTTAGTAGCTCCTAAATGTGGTCCAGCGGAGGACAGCTGCAGGGTTTGGGCGCGGTAGCTGCCCTGTGTGGTCTGTAACTGGTGAAAGCCTTCATAGAAAAGGTGTCAGAACATGTACAGCTCGCTGCGTATGAGGCTCAGAGTTCACTGCAGAAACCTCCCACAGTGGGCACATAACTGTCAGAAGCAGTGGAAGAAGGTGACCTGGTCTGATGAATCACATGTTCTTTCACATCACAGCCATGAGTGTGTGCATCACCTTTTACCTGGCAAAAAAAAAAGATGGCAGCTGGATGCACCATGGGAAGAAGCCAAGTCAGTGCCAGTGTGGACAGTGTTCTGCTGGGAAGCCTTGGTTCCTGGTGTTCACGGCGATATTCCCCGGTGGTCTCTTTCAGCAGGAAGACGCTCCCTGCAGCGCTGCAAATATGGTTCAGGAATGGTTTGAGGAACATGACAAAGAGTTCAAGGTCTTGACTTGGTCTCCAGGTTGCCCAGATCTCAGTCCAATCGAGCAATCGTGCGAGAAAAGCGAGGAGAGGCCCCAGCTAGTGATTTACTTAAATGTTCTGCTGCTGAAACCACTTCACAGACTTGGAGCCGTTTTGGCAGCACAAGGGGAACCTACACCAGACCAGGCAGGTGATTTTAATGTTGTGACTGATGGGTGTAAATTCAAGTCATTTATTATTTTCTCCCGTCCCGTGTATCATACAATGAATATAATGAAAACAAAAAAAATCATTTTCTGTTAAGAAACTAAATGTGAAAGGATAAATCTTTGATCAGACAAATAAACAATATACTGCAGCCACACTGTAACATCCAAAAATAGTCTTAAGTTGAAATATGTTTTGTTTTTTTGCTGTTTTTTTTTTCTTTTTTCTTTTACTGCCAAAGAAACGCTGGCATTCTAAGTCACTCTAAGTAGATTTAATATACTGTTGAGGTGTAATTTGTGTTTTTACGTCTCTGTCAATCCTCCCCTGACAGTCCTGAACCTGGCGTCACACCGTTAACGGAATAAAAAACTGACATCCGCTGTCATTTGGCACATGGGGTGCTCTCGCTGGCCTCCATGGTGTCTTTGCCGTCTACAGTTTCGGCAGCTCCGTCGGCGCTCTTGTCCTCGTTGACGCTGTCATTATTACTATTGTTGTTGTTGTTGTTGTTGTTGTTTTGGACACTCGGGAGCCCGTGGCTGTTGTTCTGCACAAGAGTGGCGTTGCTGAGCCTCAGCTCCTCCAGCTTCTTCCACAGCTCATCCCTCTCCTGTTCCTTCTTCTTCTCCCTGGAAAAGAAAAACAACATTTTTATGCCTTGTTGGAATTAAAACAAAAACAACACAAACGCGACCACAAATGAGTCGCTTGAGTCGTGTGTAATCGTCATAATTAAGGGTACAAGAAGCCCCATCTTCCCTAAACTACATCGGATCAAAAACAGATTCCTGCAAAACACAGAACCAGACATTTAAATAATAATTTGTAAAAGGAGACCCGATCTGAAAGTGACCTGATTACTTCTAGACACCGTGTGCTGCCAGAGAACGAGCAGCTGTGGCCTGAAAGATCAGAAAAGTAAAAATAACGTTCAAATGATCAAGTCTAAGAAACTAATCACCCCTGAAATATTTTAGATGCTTTAAAGACCTACAGGAATAACTAGAAGTCCTGTTTTCACCTCCTGCACTGACAACAAAACGTTCTGCAGCAAATAAAAGCATTTATTTAGTCTTTTACTGAGTTACTTCTTCTCCACAGATTCTGACTTAGAACCACGTGATGCCAGGTTCACTGAGTCGCTCTTATTCTGCCCCTGATTTCTGTCAAACCCCTGACTGGATGTCTAAGGACAACACACAGACTACGAAGGCAAGCAGCCTGCGCTCTCCGTCGAAGAATGCTTCCTCAAACCCACAGTGAAATATCTCTCAGTCTGAGGGAAAAATGTGGAGTGCATCTACAGCTGCATAAATCTAATTGATACGGGAATAAAAAACAAACAAGGCATTCAGACGGCGACATAAAGACAAAGCGCTCCGTGATAATCCTCTGGGGAAATTAGTCTGGAGCTCTGAGCTGCTGCCACACGGAGTCAGACGAACAAAGAGCGCAGAAAGTTTTCTCCAACTTTAACACGACAGACTGCTGCTGTGTTGTCAGCCACTGATGTCACGCAGAAAAAGAACTAAAAGAATGAACACGACAAGTAAAAGTACATGTTTTTTACAAGGAGGAAAAGAAATCCAGATCAGTGACATTAACTCATGATGCAGGCAACGCACGTGGTAGGAACGAGTACCGACACCTGCTACAGATTGTGCTGCATTATTAAATATCGGAGCACTGATAGGCTGGGTTCTGCTAATAGACTTCCTATTCATTACGGCTACATCAATGCCATCTTACATGTTTTTAATTGATCTATAATGCATTTCCCACTCCAGGAGTCACGCTGCAGTGTGGCTAACTTTGCACTCGGACCCCAGCTTCCTCGCAAGCTGGGACACGTCAACACTGCATTTGACAACAGAGATAAATCTTAAAATCTTAGGGGACGGCTCTCTCTGGTTCTCACAAGCACACACACTCTGCTCTTCATGACAAAGAGGTTTAAACGTCCAAAAGAAGCTCTCACATGGAGCTAACTCAGTTATACAAGCATGGGTTCATCGTTCTACGTGACCACCAGCCAGCTGACGGTTCAGTTATGGGTGGATTCTAATCTAAAATGATCAGAGCATCATGTGAACTGGTGTTAGGAAACGTAGTTTTGGTTTCAGAGCGCCCAGAGCAGGCAGAACTGAGTGGTTTGGAGGCTATAGACGAACCCTGTCTTGCTAGATTTTCAGCCTTTTTTAGCTGAATTTCGGCTCCGCAGCAGTAAAAGTACTCAAAAAGTACAAATGCAGGCAAAGAAAAATCCAGATGTTTTACTTAAAAGTGAATATTGAAAGAGAAGGCAAAATAAAACAGTGTTGATTCTGTCCTAAGTTTAACAAAAAGATTGGATAGTAGGGCCATAAGCTGGTGGATCAGTGAGAGTATTTGTACCATTAAAATCTTAACAACACTCCTCCCCAGTCAGACTAATGACTGTATCCTGCAGAAGCTATTTTGCAATCAGACAAAACTCCAGAAATTTCCTTCAAAATTAATAAAATTTTATCTTATATTAAAATAGCTTTTTACTTTGCAAATCGTAGCTTGTCATGGCATGCAAACGCGAGCACAACAACACTGGCTCCGGTCCTCCTCGTGAGCTACCGTCCTGCAGGTTTTAGACGTTACTGCAACACACCTGACTCACATGAATGGATCTCCAGCAGCTTGTTGTCAGATTCTACACAAGTCTGTTAATGATCCGAGTCAGGTGTGCTGCAGTAACGTCTAAAACCTGCAGGACAGGAGCTCAAGAGGACCGGAGCTGGAGATCCCTGGACTAAATAGTTCTAAAGTAATCACTGGACACATGAAGGCGATGCAGTCGTAGACGATGGCATAACTTTGGAAGCAACCACTCAGAAATATTAACGTATGTCTTTACTGTACCTCACCTGAAGCATTAATTGTAAGTCTACTTGGGATTAATGTTATTATCCTTGAATTCCTTTCTAATTCTTTCTAATTTCTTTATTTTCTTTCTTCTCTTTTTGTGAAGCAGCATCTTATTTGTATGAATATTCCAACGTGACTAATACGTGACCATAAAGAGCAGAAACACAGCCGTCGTGTCGGAGTTATTTCAACAAGACGTCTGTTTGGTTCATGGAGTTGCAGCCTTTCCCTGATCCTGCTCTGGGTTGATAAGCATTAAATCAGTCTGCGTGAGGAGGTGTGATTTCTGTTTTGACCTCAAACTTGGCTTCTGCTCTCCTTTATGAAAACATGTGGTTTGTTGGCCGCAACTTTGAAGCCACAAACCGAGCATGAAGTAGAAACGCTAACCTGGCGATGCTAACTGCGCCATTTCCTCCTACATGAGGTCATCTGTGTGAACGCCTCGGAGTTTGTGACAGTCGCTCAGATATATATGTCATGAAATAAATTAATAAAACCTCGTGTGGGAAGAATATGGAGCTAGACTAACGATCAGAGCACACAGGTGACGCTTCATATCAACATGTGTGTAAATATGTTGGTTCTAAATTTGAACCTCTGCACAGCTCAAGTTCTCAGCAAACTGTTTGTATTTTGTTCTTCTCTACAAATAAAAATAATATTAATAACAATGTTCTTGTAGCTGGTAGGACAGACTGACTAACAGCTGCTGCAATAAATAGTTTTAATGCTTTAGATAAAAGTTTTTAGACATCAGATGCAGTAGTTTGAAAGAAAGTTACTGAATCTGGTCCAGCGAAGGACAAACACTGTGAGAAAAAACATCGTCCTTGTGACTCACCGTTGCCTGTCTGCTTTATAGGAGGATGTCAACTCATCGAACAGCGTGCAGTTCATCTCCATCAGCGTCTTCAGCACGTTGTAGACCAGCGCTACGATTGTCCTGCAACGCAGCAGACACGCCGGCATCAGAAACACGGAAAAACAAAAAACACACTCGTGTGGCTGAGCCTGTCTTAGCAACACACCTTTTAACTGCCTACAAGTGGTCCAGAGTGCTGCCGCCAAGCTTCTGATCAAATCATCCCGAAGTAACATCAATCCTGATTTCCTTTACACTGGCTTCATATTACACTCAGAAGATTCTTGTGATTATGTTTAGAGCATTGCATCATGGTCTGGCACCTGCCTGTATTAAAGCTATAAAACACTAACAGGAATCCTCTGATCAGGGTTTGTGCGGTTACTTTTTTCCTCCAGGTTCGAGACAAAAAGGAGGCTTTGCTTTTGAGGCTGTAGCTCAGAAACTTTCCACTTGTTTTTCTTTAATTTATTTTGTTTTTGTCTTGTCTCATCCATTTAACGTCTCATCTGCATTTTCTGTCTGTTGCCGTGTCTCTTAATGGCTTTTTAATTTGTTTTTGTGAAGCACTTTATGCTGTTTGCTCCACAAATAAAACTCACTGAACTTACTAACAATGGACATCGGAGTCAATTGGTTCGTTGCGAGGCTTTCAAAGACCATTAACCCTCTGGAGTGTTTTTTAATGCAAAGTAAAGACAGCGAGGAAGAAGACAAGTACAGCATAATTGAGAAATTAAGAAAAACAAGCCCTAGAAATGTTTAACGAGGACGATAATGCATTTATAAAGAAAATATAATCACAGCAGGGGTCAACGATGTCGAAAAGAATTTACTGCTTTCAAAATAACCGAACAAAAACAAATAAACCCACAAACTGTCTGCATCACAAGGAAGTGTTTTGATTAAATAAGAATTAGTTCTGTTGTAGATAAGATGAAGTGACCCTTTGAATACAAAGCAAAACACAGGAATGTCTGTAAAGCTCTCGATTTTCAGAAAACTTGTTTTTTTGTTGTTTGTTTGAGATGATATCAAACTGAAGTTGAGTGGATCTGACTCAGTAGAAATGACACGACAACTCAAGTTAGATTGATATTGTCTCAGGTAGACGATGGAACAGTGGGTTTTCTGAAGGTCTGTGAGGATGGAGTTATCTGTTTCTGCACATGAACTCTTTATACGTAACATGCTGAGACTAGTTATAGAAGACTGCGCCATTAAACGAGCAAATAGTTCCACCATGCAGGGCTTATAGGAATGTTGAGCAGGCTACCAGAAGAGCTGTTATTCTTGAAAACGTACACAGAGGTTCGTGTCCCTTTCACCTCCAGGATCTACATTAAACGATGTGAGTCGTGCTGTCGCCTCTCTGTAATGTGTACATGTAAACACGATCTCGAGAACAGCGAGCGACCGCAGCACGTTTCTGTCCATTTGGGACCTTTGTCAAGAACTCCACGCTGAATGACAAGCAGGTGGTTCTGCGACTTTAAGACCTGCGGCGTAGTACAACATGTTTTCTATATTCAGCTCGTGATGTGAAAACCTCTGGAGTTACTATGGCAATATAGTGAAAACAGCAGCCTCCGTGGCGGCACTACGTACGGGTTCCAGTGCTCTTTGGAGATTCTGTACAGGCTGCCGAACATGATGGGGAGGACCTTGTCGATGTTCTCCTCGATGAGGCTGAGGATGTACTCGTTGTTCCAGAAGTACAGCGCTCGCTCTGCTACCTGTGAGCACAAAGGTAGAAGAACGGCGACTTAAAAACCAGAAGGAAAGCAGCTGATGATGTAGACACAGAGGACTGAAGCCCCTCTTTGCATGACAACAATGTCCACCTCACAGAGAAAACACGCTCAGTGGCTGGTTTATCAGATACACTCGTCTAAAGCTGGTGCAGTCCAGCAATAGCCCGCTTGACCTTCACGAAGGTTATAATGTTTAGTGTTTCAGAGAGCTGCTGGTTCAACTTGATGGTCAACGTGGAGGACGTAGTTTGAGCGTCTAGTTCACTGATATGTACAACAACTGCCGAGGCTTGAAGCAAACCGTCTCTGCATGTACCTGAAAATGCGGATTGGCCACACATTTAGAGATCTGTTTGAACAACGGCTCCTGGATTTTTTTGAATTGCGTCGGTTCAATGACGTCCAGAATCTCTTCGATTTCGCCCAGGAACATCACCTGATTGGACAAGGAGGTGCAGAAGGTTAGTTAACAATAGCCTCGGCAATAAGCGTCCCGCGTATTTATAGAAATGCATCCTACCTCTTTCTGGCTGCAGGTTTTAGGCCAGAATTTCAGCAGACCACGAATCACCTGCAGAGACAACAGAACATTTCTTGAGAATTTCTCTCTCATGCCTGTTTTGAGTGGGAGGCTTCAAGCACCCACTACAAATTTCTCTGCAGTGTAGACTATTTTAGTGCTCAAGGCTTTGTGCTTTGAGTGGGAGGAATGACAAAAGAAATAAATAAAATGTAAAAAGAAAAAAACAGAAAAAGGTACCGGCTCTGTGAGCGTAGGATCCTTCTCCAAGAACTGGACCACACAATAGGCCAGCTGAGGGGCACAGAAAAAAAATGCAAACACAAAATGCAGACAAAGACAGCGTCACACAAACATCATCTAAAAAGATATCTCTGGTTAAATATGTTTGAAAACCTGTCGATTTATTGTTTTAGCAATCCCCACTGTGGTAAATGAAAATAAAACACAGTAGAAATCAATGAACCAGGTATTTTCCATTTTCAAGCCACTAGAAGGTGCTACAGTACAGAGATTACACCACGACCAGAATCAGTCCCTAAAAACAGCTGCATTATTCAGCTTTACATGCCCAAATATTACAGGAATCTAAATGTGTTTCAACAAAGAAACAAACTGCGCTACAGGACAGAAAAGTCAACCTGTGTTTAATAAGGAGCTTCTTCTACCTGTGCATGGAAAAGGGCCAGTCCTTTAGCTGTATGCAACGGGATGAGCACCTTCATCAAGAACTGCTTGTGCTCCGCCTTCAGAGGCAACGCAAACCCGTTGATGATACTGTACACAGAGAAACAACGGAGCAGCGTTAGATTACAGACAACGCAGCAGCACGGAGCTAACGCTGGAAGATCAGAGCAGAGAATGGCTGTGAAGCTTTGGTTCGTGATGTGGAAAAGAGAAATGACAGAAGAGTGGAAGCCTGAGGGACCTTTTAGGCCACGAGAGAGCATAAGTCCTCCACGTCCTAAACTCTGGACTGTCTGCAGTAAAACTCACAGAAAAGAGAACCTAATGTGTTTTCCCTTAACTGATTATACAGCATTACCAAGAAATCTTGAGGTTTTTACACACTTTCACAGAGCCTAAGTTAACAAAAACTCAAAAAACATGAAGTTTATTATCATACACGTCAAAGAAAAGCCTCAAACTCTTCCACTGGAGAGGCTGTATTTCCATTTGGAAGAAAAAGAAAGGACAGGCTAAACGATTACACGCTAATCTAATTTATCAGGTCTGGTTTAGCATTGCGGTACTTTCTTACTCACCTTCCGAGAATCTCGAGCAGTTCGGCAACTCCATTGAAGTGTTCGGTTTCATATATGAACCTGCAGAAGTAACAAACACACATCGACAGCAGAAATTACGAAACGACTCTAAAAGCAGAGCGCTCTCATCAGAACTATCGATTCAGACTGTTCCCAACACTGTGTACCTTTTACGCTGATTTGGGTTTGTATAAACGCACTTTCTCTGATGTCTTGTGATTGTTAGACCACAAAACTCTGCTATTATATCTGTTATATTGAGCTTTATATACCCTGAGTTCATCTAAAAGCCTTCAGCAAAATCAGGATCGCCTGCATGTCTGCAGCCCAACGACTGAAAACTGCAAATTCTTGAATCGAGAAGGACTATCTGGAAAAATTAGAGATGTTTAGCAGGATAATTAAAGACTGTTATGCAACCTAATGATCCACACATCATTTACCTCCTCTGTTTGGTAACACATTTCCATCTCGCTGTGCAGCCCCGGTATGTACAGACAGAGCCTGACAACTGTGGCACTATTTTTATCCTCAGTGGCAGATGGTCAAAGTGGGTGCACCCGTTTTGCCACCTTGCCTGTTGGAAACGACATCAAGTGTCCCCTGTTTCAATCATCAAAAGCTCATTGTCACGCAGCAACAGGAGCAGTAAAGATGCAACACGCTGCTGCTGCTGCTGCTGCTGCCAACGAGTGACGCATGAACATTTTTACTCCCTCGCTGTTGTTAAGGAGTGGGGCGAATTTGTCCGTCTGAAAGAAATGGCGTCTTTGACGGCTAAAATCTTGACCCATAATGTGCGTAACGGGGTCAACTGAAAACCAAGAGTAGAAACTTCAAACCAAAGCTCTGTGTTGACGTCTGTACAAATATAAAGTAATACTGATTGGCGAGCGCTCCAACGGTCTCACACGATCATCCGAACTTCTAGGAACTGAGGCACCAAAGGAGTAAAACTAAGGAACAAAAGTAGGAAGCAAAAAGTCCCGTGTTTGTGTTCCTACAACATTAGAAATTTAGACAAATTAGAACAATGGCCAAAGTCAAAAGCTTGGAGCATAATATTTATACTCAAGGAAGCATTAGCACAAAAGACACGTTTGGATTTAATGTTGTGCGACTCTGATGTTTGGACTAATAAATGGAAGAGAAAAGACAAACTGAGTGACCTGCACGGAGTCTAATGGTTCTGTGTTTCTGCTGCTAGGAAACAATCAGAAAAATAAAGCTGAAGTCCTCGTTCTCTTCCTTCTACTTTTAAGTGTCATCCACTCGGTCTCTCACGTTCATTTGTGGTCTTTCACTCTCTGAGTCTCAAACCTCGCTGGTGGGTTGGAAAGTCTTTCAAAAAAAAAAAAAAGAAGCCAAAATTCTGCCATTTATCAGAGCCAGAGACAAACAAAGAATTGTCAGATTTTCAGCTTTTCAAAAGTCCTTGAAAACTCCTCTGTAATCTGCCCGTCTACCAAAAAAAATCAACCATGATACAAGCATAAAGTTGGAACATTTCACCAAAGTAATTTTATTCTAAATGTCTCCATAAGAAAAACTCGCTACCAGATGCTAGAAAAATATAATTATGACCAAGAGTCAAGTGACAAAAAATTAGAAACCTTTTGGCTAAACTACAGGCTGTGTTTACACAGAACAGGAGATAAATGTAGAGACTACGTAGTACAATATGTACAGGATGTAGAATTACCACTTGTTTCCGGTGCAGGTAACACACGTGGGAACTTCAAAGACCCACCCAGATTCCTTTTTTTTTGTTGTTTTTCTTCTTAAATAAATTCAATCAACTTTTGTTTTTGTGATTGATGGCTTTATAACACAGAAGACACGTTCTTTCTGTTACTAGCCATGGTCGGGCTGTTTCCATAAAGGGGCGGGACTTTATATTACAACGAAAAATGAGCCTGCAGTGAGTAAAAATGTGCAAAAGTGTCCACAACGTTTTTTCTTTTTTAGCATCAATACACAAGAAATGACCATCCCCATTAATGAAGCAGTGCTCAAGTTGTAATTGTTCTGTGTTTGGTCAGTCAGCAAGATTCAGCTCTGCAATATCAGCCCTGATTTGGAAAGTACTACCCCCAAAAGAAAGTGGGTTTTTAGCGCCTGAGCTAAATTTAGTCACTGGTTCACAGGCTTAGTCCCTAAGCTCCCTGGGAAGGTTTCTGTGTAAGATTGGACATTTCACAGTGAAGCTGTTGCCTCCAAGGCTTCGTCCCCGAAGGCCAAACCTGTTACCAAAAACTTGGCTCATGAAAGGTAAAAAGAAATACAGGGAACAGGTGTTTGGATCCACTGACTTTACTGAAACCCACTAGGGACTGTAATTTGTTGGCAAAATATCCACTCATTAGTCGTTTGATTTTCTATTTTTACACCCTTAATCTAATCACACATTTTGCACCGTTTCAGTCTCAGTGTGCTTGTTGCTTGATTTAAACTTCACTTATTGTTGTGCTGTTTTAATGCAGCAAAATCTCTCTAATTCGGAAGAAAGATAAAAAAAAAATCCTTCAACGGGACTAAACAATAAGACACCGCACATGTTTCCTGGCTGCTATTAACTCACCGCAAGAAGATATTGTTGATCTGCTTCCTGATGAAGGCTCGCAGGCCCAGGAACTTTCCATAAATCCGATGCAGGATGGTCTTCAGGAAGTCCCTCTCCCTCGGGTCCTCGCTGTCGAACAGCTCCAGCAGCTGCACAGACAGAAAAGGACAATTCTTAGTCCTTTAAATGGAATATTCGGTGACAAACATTACTAAAGATATCACTATCTGTTCACCAATAAAGCATTTAATGTAAGGAAAATTTTGCACCGTGTGATTGTGAATACTTTCAGACGTACTGTAACACGTTCAGGGGTGTTGGTGGTAAATGCCGGTTATGTAACACAGTTCTCTTTTTTCCCCCGCCAGTGTGACACGGCCGCTTTCATTAATAATTGAGAAGCCAGTGTGCAACGTAATCGATCAATCAACCACCTGTTGAGCTCAAGACAGATCCTGACGTATTTCATCTCGCTGCCAACGCAGCTATTCTGTGACTCATTCGGTGCTCTGCCTCTGCTGTGGCTTATTCAGCTCAATGTTAGAGTTCATGGAAACGCAGCAACTCCTCTGACAGGTCGTCTTTACTTCACCTGGTGGTGGGCCGACATGATAAAGAGCTGCGGGAAACCCTAAATAGTGAGATTTTATTATTACACTGTGATATTTATTTTTTTCTGTATCGCCCACCATCTGGTCAACAGTGACGAACCACAAAGCAAACTAGGGGAGGGTTTCTAGGCCACTTCAGGGCAGCGGAAGGAAGTTGTAAATTAAAATATGCCATCTCGTTAATAGAGTGTTTTGCTCGGAAACAGCAGCTGATTTTTTTCATGTTATGCAGAAGGGATGGCAAAGGGTTGGACATTGGTGGACTGACGTTAAAGGAGATGACGTTGAAAAAAAATATGCAAAACAATCTTTCTCCTGTGACAGTTACTGGTGAGGCCGACAACTCTTTGAAGTTGTTTAATTGCTAACTGTGTCTAAGGACGGTGGGTGTCCGAAGCTTTTACGCTGACAAGGGAAGTCGCAGCGAATCGAAACAGTGAAGTCGCAGGCCGGTCACGTGAACAATGGTCTGGCTATAAAACTCTGTTACGCTAAAGAAAAACTGTAAACTTAGGTGATAATTCTTTGGGTAAATCACTACAAGCCATTTAGGACATCATTATTACAAAAAAAAGATTTACTGTGCTCGCTCTGAGGCAGTTATTTGCACAAACAAGTCTAAATAATGCAGATTTACCAGCTACCGATATCTTATCTAACAGTCACAGTATGTGTGCCTGAACGCTCTGTAATGTAAACAGACTTGAAACCTCTGGCATAAAGCAGCTATTTGCAGCAACATTTGATGAGTCATTATTACAATACTGTTGAGGGAAGCGAATCCAATGCCACTGAGTTTAAAAGGAGAGTTTTCGGGCTCCGATCAGCTTCAGGGTACGTTGCTCATCTTCCACTAGCATGCCACCAGCACCTTGGCGACGGGGCTGACGGTCTATTTTTAACTCTACGTATATCCAGGAAAAGGCTTTCATCATGTTGATGCACACATGCTCCTCTCCTGCAGAGCTGATTCGTATTCATTCAGTCTGTCTCTGTTGCAAATGAGTCGAGAAACTATAGGTTTGCTCAAGGGCATCACACTGCTGCCTGTTTTTTTTTGTTTTTTTTATTCCCATACATACTTTTAGAGTTTGTCAGAGAACCGTAACTGGTTTCTGAGAATCCACAATGAAATCAAGATGTGCTGGAAACTTGAGCACTAACGAATCGTTCCGTTCAATCCACTCCGACTTCAGCATCTTCAAGGAGCCGAAAGCACGGCAACCAGTCAGACTGTCTTCAACTGAGAGGAAACTAAGGAGGCAGCACGAGGACAAAACAGGAAGAAAACAGCGTTGTTTTCATTTATTGGTTCATTGAATTATTTCACTCGGCCACTGCAGCGGACAGACCAAACTGCCATCAGTGAATCCACTCAGCTGGCGCTACGGGAGCATCGATAAGTCGTTACGGCAATAAAAACCTCAGAACACGTGTGTGATTTAAACAGCTGTCTGAGACGTACCAATTCCAACAGGGCAGCTATCGATAATCTCTCTGGAGGATTCAGGACATCGTGTGCGCTGCTGTAAACTAACGCCGACTCGTTTACTGCCAGTATGTTTGTGTCAATGTGATGGAGTAACTTGATGTGTTAAGTATTATTACCATCAGTTACCCCGTCTACCGGCACTTCCTTCCTTCTGCAAATTTAATTTATAATGGGAAATGTATATTGCTGTAACACAAATTTACTCAACAGTGACAGAAGATGTTATAAATATATCAAAATTAATAAATCAACGACCCTTCCTGTTGCCACGAAGTAACCCTGAGGGGCTGAATCAGCATTAGGGCCGAAGCAATTATTTGATTGGCAGAAAATTAATCATCATTTGGTTCTGATCTCTCAGCTGCATTGAAGGTAATCAATGATGACGAAATGAGATATGGACATTGGACCTGAGTTTATTATGAAACAAAAGCTGTCAGAGTATAATTCAGACATGCTGCCTGTGCCTGAGGTGAAGTCAATATTCAATCACAATAGTTCACGCCAGAACCTGAGTTCTGTAAGTAGCCTGACCGGTACGTGTCCCTGGATAAAACAGCAGCCACAGCAACAATCTTTCACTTGGAGGCAAGACATAAAAAGTCATTACGAGGCCACATGTTCTATAGATCTGTATTCAGACGTACGGCATTAGTTACAGAGGGTCTGCGGAGGTGTAGAGAAAACCACAAAAACAAAATCCAGGAGAGAAAATTTGGAATTCTGGGATACAAAACTGGTCCTCTGACAAACACCCAGAGCCTCCTGTGATGCCATGTGACAACAACAACAGAAAAAAAACAAAACACTACATCCAAAACTTCACAATTCTGTCTGTCAGAACTTTCAAGTGAAACAGCAGTTTTCTATTTGTGTATAAAACCTCCGGCTCTCGCTGACACTGGCTGGACAATGTCACGGTAAAGCCACAGGGTCAGATATACCGCTCCGAGCACGATGCAAAAGCACATCGCACACAAATATTGCCATGCGGCCTTTGACCTTTATGCAATTTCCTTCTGTTTGGTCAATAAATGTCTTTACCGGTTGTCAGAAAAGCCACAAGGAGCTGCTAACGGGGATATCGGATTCTTGCACCACGCTCATACGTGACCTGTGTGGATGTGTGTCCCGGGTTACGTGATTGCGAGCAGAGAGAGCTACACAGAGGCGAGAAAGCAAGCGAAAGCAGGGCGACCCGACAGCCGTGTGGTCAGGGAGCATACCACATGGGCACAAATGGCGTCAGCAGTGGGTCTAAAAACACGCTGAAATCTGACCGTACTGGGTGGTCAGAAGAAAATGTGTCAAAGAAATGAACTCTGTAGTGTGGCCTCAAAAAGACAAAGTTCCCACACACTGTTTGCAGCATGAGATAGTGCCTGAATCACAGCCCATTAAGACAACATGTTAACCTCCACTTACTTCACAGCCATTTACAAGCTGCAGCTCTGCACTGCTGAACTACTTTTCCTTAATAACAGCAACGTCAACCGACAACCTCAGCCCACACAGCTTAAAAACAACATCTGCGCTCTGAATTCGGTGATACTTCTACGTAGAATTATCTCTCAGGGGGGAAAGTTAGAAGAGATGAAAAGTCCAGGTTTGACACACTCATTCATGTCTGTGTGATCAACAAGCTTTGCTGTCAGTCACAGATGCAGAGAGAGTCTTCTTTCTGAAGGTTTTAGAGACGTCAGACACTGAAACTGCCCCTTTAGAGCAGAGTTAAAACCAGGGGCTGCACAGTCATGGTGAATGGAATCATTTCTGCAATGTTTTGGGACTGAAAATTGAATGACTAACTTTGAGGACATGTTAGAGTTTTATCAATTTGCTGAGGAGAAGCACAATGTGGGACCTTTAACTTTCCCATTATTAATCTATAGGCATCCCAGTTTCTAACAGGAGCACACTCACAGCTCACAACAAAGTCGTCTGACGCATGAGGAACTAAACGACACATTTACTAATAAAGAAACTCTTTTGGGATTAGCTATGGATCCAACATATCACATGATGACAAGCTTCTGCAAGCATCTAAATAATACTGGACCATAAACTGTCAACAAATAGATCCCACATGTGAAGACAACACAGACACACTTCTTTTTTTTACCAGTGCTCCCTGACAAAAAAAGCCTAAAATACAACCTGACCATATGTCTGACCACATGTTCTGCTCTTAGTTCCACATATGGTTGTTTTCCCACGTTGAAGGCTGTTTTCTGCAGCAGCTGTGCTAGCACCAGTTGATCCAGTAGCAACAGAGCAGCGCTCTCTTTAAAACTAACTGCTTACTGGCAAACAGACGATCCCAGTCCCATGGAGCTGCACAGAAAGGCAACGGTTTTTGCAACTTCAGGATGTTGTATGCAAGAACCCCTGGACTTTTCACTGGTCCCTTGTGATCCATTTGCCCTCCACATGCTAACAGTTAGCTAGCACATGCATTTAAAAAAAATAAAAATCAATTTGCATTCACACTTTTTACTGCAAGCTGGTACGTTTTCATTTTCGTTTTACGCCACGCCCATTTCTAAGGGTGTGCCTACATGACAGTGATGCAATAACAAAAACAACGAGAAAACCAATAGTCACTGCAGGATCTTTGGTAGGCAAGTATTTGTGGAGGCAAAGTGTCTTATAATAAGTCAAAAAGTAAAGAAAGTACAGTACACCTAGCAAGGATTGTTTCTGTTGTTGTGGCTTTGCATGGAAACCTCATAAAGACGTTTCATCCGTTGTAAATATGTTCTTGAGCAAACCACTGAACCTCTGCCTCCTCTGGGAATTCTTCTCCTGGATGTCCCTGTCCAATGTGAACATCTCAGAGGGATCTTGGGAGACCTCTGTTCCTGCGCTGTGTGTATTATGATAACTGAAGCTAACTAAGCCCCGGGCCTTCTCTCCCTGCTTTTATTGCCACCCAAACCTCCACCTCTTTCTCTTTGCTTCAACCACACTCCGCTTCTCTCCCCCTGAAGAGTAAACAACAGGCAGCTATTTAAAACCTCCAAACGACACACTCACATCATGGAAAGTCGGACCAGGCACCTCGGATGTGGCCCAGCCAACATTCCAGGCCTTGCGGTCCACGTTAGCTGCTGCTTCACAAGAAGTGAGGCATTCCTGCAGTAGGTGGGTACTAAACCAGGACTACAGAGTATTAATGGTTTGACTCATCCAACAAAGCACACGGTGGGCTGGTAAACTCCCCAAACACATCACAACGTGTTGGTAATTACGGTTGTAGAATTTAGCACATTGACAAACTCTAATCATTTGATCTATACAGAGCTTCAGTGATTAAGTGATTCGTGGTTCATGTACTTTTCCCAGCGAAAATAGTAAAAATTTGAAGGTTGCAACTTCCTAAATGTGAATACTACGAGGATTTCTTACCCTTCTAAGGTAGTAAGGTACTGTTACTCAGACAAAAGAAGGACATTGGACTCTACATTGCACATCAATGACTATAAAACAAAAGTCCTTCTCATTATCATTTATGAATTAATCATTTGTGATGGCTGTAAAACCTCATGACTTCTTCTACTTTATGTTAGCCATCGCTGCTGTGATACGAGGTTTGTCAGCCTGTAAACAAACCAAGCTGCACTGATCCATGCGCAAACATCCCAACTAGTGGTGATGGTGTATTCCTGATGCGATCTCCTCAGAGAAGGTCTTCTTGAATAGATATATTGCGGTCTAGCGATCAGTACTTCGGTAATAAGTCGATGCAAAATGCTGGAAACGTCACAGGACCTGTTTTCAAAGGCACCGGACAATAACAGCAGCACGTGGACAGGCGAAGTAAGCGCTGAAATTAAAACATACGAAGACTCGTGCAAGGAGATGTTTTGCATTTGAGTCGGATGATCAGAAACAAGTCACAGACGACCAAGAACAGACGAGTAACACCTCAAACTTGTCAACAATTTACAGAAAGAAGGTTGGAGTTGTTGACGGATTATTAACGACACGTCATCCTGAAATGTTACGGCAACAGTCCCATCTTCTGTGCGATGCTGCTCACAAAACGTTCACAAAGATTTGACTTGATTGATTTGTTCTTCGGTAAAACACCCACCTGCAGAACAAACTTCTGATCAATATGCCGCTTTGCAATGCTGGGCTGGAAGTCCGGATTCTCTAAGAAGCGCAGCAGGAACTCGTAGACCAGCTGGAAGATGAAGAAAAATAAAAATAGGAATATGCACTTTGTAATGACTGCAGCGCACGGTTATGTAATCTTAAGGGTTTGAACGACAGACAGGCTGAAATATCTGACCCTTACTTGCATGTGAGGCCATGAAGCCTCAAGGGTAGGTTCATCCTCTTCTGGGTCAAAATCTGGATTATCGCTTGGTGGAAGGGCCCGGAAAATATTGGTGCTGATCTGCAGGGGAAAGGAAGAGTCTTGTTAATAATAATAATTTTTTTTAAAAATTAAACAAAGGAATAACAGTCAATGAGAGAGTGGAAGAAGATATGGTTGGAAAATAGACATTTATCTGTTTTCTACTACTTAGACATAGTCGGTAGAATTGCAATATTTGAAACTGCTAATTACACAACATGCATATTATATTCTTTCTGTGATATATTATTACGACTGCTGTATCTTCATAAAGTCCATTCGTTGGTGTTTTTTCCACAGAAAGGCCTCTAGTTTACCCAGCTAGGTGGGCCTCTACACCCGTCACTAACAGAAGAGAGCAACCTGTAGCATTATCCTAAATCTGTCACTACACTTGTCCCACACTTTGCCTTATTTTTTAAACAAACACTGTATGTTTAGTCGTGTAAATGATTGCAGCGTTCACACCGTGTGACGAACCTTGACACGAATTTGGTTACAGGTAATTTGTATCTACGTCAAACAACACAGACACTAGAAACAACACACCAAATCAGGCTACACTTCATCAGCTGCATGGCCAGGTTTTCCTGATAAGCAGCTGTTAAAGATTAAATAACTGGCTGTAAAATTCAGGAGAGACCCAACATAAGCCTACATGCATCAACATCACCGGCAGCTTGGTAATTGGAGTGTAAAGCGAACCTTTTCCGGACTATTTCCGAGCACGTTTTAATTCAACTAAGCATGTTTAACACCGTTACCAAAACAGAAAGGCGCTTAACAAAAAACCATTACTGATTCTGCATCTGTCGCAGGCCCCCCCATTAAAATTCTGCACCCAAGACAATCACGGTAGACAGGTCAGTGCCACCTCTATCCCACCTTGTTATTTTTAGTAAGGGTGAATTTGAGAGTGACACACAGCAGCGGGGGAGCTGGAAAAGCCAGCATTATGTGATTGGATGCACACTCTCATGCTGAAGTGATAAAGACAACATCAAATTAACTATTGGCAGCTGGAAAATCAAACTGACACTAATGGGAGAGGAAAGCAGCAAAGAAATTTTAAACCTGATGCTCGTCCAAACTCAGACATCCCGAGAAATCCACAGAAAAACTTTAAATCTCAGTGTAAGTTCTGTCCTCACTGGCAGCACTGCTGCAGATAAAAGAGGTAAAAACATTAATTGATGACCTCCTCAAACATATAACTCACCAAGGTTGTTACACAATGCTGACAGTAACTGTAAGCAAACCAGACTCTAGATGGATTCAAGAGTATGATCTACAGGCCTCCAGCGTTCGTCGTCAGGCAACGGTGTGATGGTGGTTTCAAAGCAAACGCGCAAGAGCAAACAATGTGTGCAGAGCTGCACGTTATCATACAAAACAGCTACATAACAATGCAAATTAGCGAACCGTGTGTCCCTATCTTTCTCTGGTTTTTAACAGATGTTTTTCTCATATCTTCATAGGATTGGACCGTTGTTTTACAAGAGTGGTTCCCAGCATTTATTGGTTTGTGACCTCTTAAAACAAAGCTACTTGTCTTAATTGCTTACACACACTTTCTGATTGTTTTTTCGAAAAGTATTTTTAGAAGCCTGGCAAGCTGAAATCGTTCAGTAATGCAAAGAAAACAAGCAAAGATTAGAAGAAAGCATGAAAGAGAGACTTAAGTTTGTGTAGCAGAGATTTGCTTCCTGGCAATTTAAACTTTTGTGACCCCTCAGGTTTGTACTGTGACCCCTGAGAGGATCCTGACCCCTAGGTTGAGAACCACTGAGTTACACAGCCCTGGTCATTTAGAAATGCACAAAATTGACTTCACCAAAAGCTTTCTCAGCAGTGAAATTATTGCTTTCAAAACTTCCCAATTCCAAAATTGCTACGGGTGCATGTTTTGGAGGTCAGTCTATTGGGGGTCAAAGTTGAATTTAATTCTGGTTACACAACCACTTGTAAAAATCTGTGCAAAGCTCTCTGCAATGGCCTTCACAGCTGTCTCAGAGTTCACAGCTGCCCTGTATAACAAAGCTTCCAAGCAACACTGAAATACACACATGCAGTTCACAAACTCACACTCAACTTCCTACATAGCCTTAATTGTTCAAGAAACTGACTGGAAATGCTGCACGTGTTCCTTTAAATTTAGACTAATGTTGACCATCATTAATTTACTGCAGGTAAAACAGGACTTGTTTTGGCTGCATCTCACAAACCAAAGTCAGTGTGATTTTCCTGGAACCATCCACGGTTGATGAGGGCTTTGTGACACTGCACATCGCTCTGCTGGAAATGTCCACTGAACACTGAGGTAAACACGGTAACAATGCTCAGGTTGCTGTGACATTCAGATGATCCAGTGTGGATTTCCACGTGACCGTTTTAGTCGGATCTCGCCATTGGCTGAAAAGAATGGTAGGAAGCTCAGTTTGGTGCTGCTGTAGCCCATCCCCTTCAAGGATGAATGAGCCCTTAAGCTCACCACTGTTACTGCGCTGAGCTGTTATTTGCCTGCTTGTGGCCTTCCTGTTACTTTAGAGAAGTCTGACACTGTAGTGCAGCTGTTTCTGCGCTGATGAAAACACCATCTGGCAATAATGATCGTGCAGCGTTCAAACTCATTTACATCGAGCATCTTGTCCATTCTTTGGCCAGTAAGACAATAAAACAACCTGTTGACTTGGCTGCATGGTTTATATACAGCAATCCCCTCTTTTAAATTCCCAACGGTTTGCTTTGAAGGACACTTTGTGAAAGCTACGTGATAAAGTCATTCATTTAAACATTAGACACAAATACTGTCCAGCTGACACGACTACATCTATGACAGTCAGTTATGTTGACAAATCTATCTATCTATCCATCTATCTATCTATCTATCTATCTATACCTCCATTCATCTATCTATCTATCTATCCATCTATCTATCTATCTATCTATCCATCCATCCATCCATCCATCCATCCATCCATCCATCCATCATTTAAGAATCCAGCATTTAAGAAGCTGCAGCCAGTGTCGACTGAGAAATTCTATTTTCAGTATCATTGTGTAATGATCATGCACAATAAACACGTCGCAAAATAATGCATGAAATCCAAGACAAATAATTCGACATGCACCATGCATTCACACTCAGCATGCAAACATCTGACGACGTATCAGATGGAGCCCTGGGCAGATGAAACCCTCGGATTAAATTGTGTAAATTAGGTGGCGACTGTGAGGTCAGTAAGCACCAAGGCTGAGGAAGAAAAGTGAAGAGTGCCGAAAATGTCAAGAGATTTGTTTTGGTGAGTGAATTAGACCTTAATGCCTTATAATTATAACGTCTTATTTAAATAAAATTGCACCTGAATTGGTTTAGTAACCATGTGCCATAAAAACAAAAAGTCAGAAGGTACCGTTTATCTCACGCCCTTCAATATTTGTTTGTTTACAGCATCTTCATCTTAATACTGAACAATGTAAGTGCAGATTACTGTCGTATCTGTTAGGCCTAATTACAACCAGTGCATATTTGGCATTTCTGATTTTAAAAAAGTTATAAGGAACGTATAATAAATGATTAAACCTGCAACGAAAAATGATTCTGCTGATCAACTGCTTGGTTAACTGCTTCACATAACCCCTGTGTGGCCAGCATGCCTCACTGCTCGGGTTAACCCTCTGAACCACAGAACCATTTATCAGAGGCACTGCAAAAAAGACAGATAACGGTTGAATTATTCTCTCCTCAATGGTCCCTGAACTACTCATCTGTCGGGACATGCATCCAAACCTCAGCTTAATATTGTGATATTTCATTTAAATGACTTTATCCTGCATGTTTCAGCTTTTTAAAATATCACCAACCATTTGTTCTAACCAGATTCAGGAAGTGAAATAAAATAACGAATTAAATTCTGCGGTTCTTGGCAATCAAGAAGTCAACCCGTCATGTGACAAAAACTCTTTTTTGGTTGGACTGCAGGCTGTGCTTTCACAGAACACATAAGAGACAAGGATAGAAACATGATACTGTAAATTCCAGACTATAAGGACTACTTTTTTCACAAGCTTTGAAGGTTACGGCTTAAACAGGATGCGGCTAATTTATGGATTTTTACGAATTTGCCTCGAGACGAAAGTGACGTTGAGAGCGACAACGACAGAGAGACTGAGGAAGTGACGAAGGAATTCTGAGGCTGTTAAACTCCGACACTGAAGAAGACGACTTTAGAGGTTTTAGTGCAGGAGGAAGATGAAGATAGCATCAATGATTTTTCCTGGTAGGCTGCTGTAGTTTTTATTTTCTTAACCAGCTGTGTTACAGGAGTGTTCAGGAAAAAGCATTTGTGTATGTTACCGGTTCGTATTTAATTAAAAGTTTTAAAACATCTTTCTGTGTAAACATCTCATGTTACAACACGGACAAATGCAGCTTATAGACAAGTGCGGCCGATATATGTACACGTTTGTTTTTCTTTTTAAAGTTAGTGGGTGTGGCTTATATTCAGGTGCCTCAATAGTCAGGAAATGACGGTATCTCTGCTACTAGCCGTGGTTGTGCTGCCTCCACTGAGATGTTAGTGAAAAATTAGCCCACAGCCAGTAAAAACGTGCTTTGGGTTCAAAGGGTTAACAAAGAAATGTATGCATTCAGACCAGCTTTAGCTCTCATAGATGCTTTAGCTCTCATAGATGCATCAGCTTGCCATCTGACAACTTAGTTGAATCAACAGAACACAATCTTTCATTGGATAATCACACACACACGAGCAGACATTCCTGTCTGATTACTTTGGACCAGGGGCACCATATTTCTGCTGTTTAGCTTGTTATTGTTGTGACAAAAAGGTTAAATTATTGTTGCTGTGTCGTGTTTTGCCATCTAATTTAGCATTCGAGCTCATAAACCTGTTACTCCAACCGATTTTTTTTGACTCGCTGGTATTTCAAACAGCACCATGCCAGCACAACCTCTTGTTATGAAGGCATGGCGGGCAGACAATGGGGCCATCTCTCGTGATGTGATGTGAGGATGCATC